TTGATTTTTAAGTTTCTCAAAGCCTATGACTTGAGTGCTCATAACTGATAATAACACATATCGCCTACTCAAACAGTATTAGACTGTCTAGATTCATATTTTAGCGAGAATTGAATTCATCAAGGAAAGAACTCCACTTGGCATGCTTTTCTTTTCAATTTAGTATGCTAAAGGTAAAATTGAATTAATTGACTCCAAGAATATCATCATCATTATTCTTTTAAGCTTACTACAGAAGGTAGAATTTGGGTTGTTACACTTTGGTTACTTTTTCCTTTCAATTAGTAGTTCAGTATGAAAGCACTACTCACATTAAGTAAGCAATGATACAAGTCGTATGCTATATAGTTGCTACTTCCATAGATCTTTTACATTAGAAACTCATGAAATTGATTATGACCACCATACCACTGCAGATTTAGTGCTGTAGCTTGGTTCATCTAGCTTGTTTCTGTAGTATAATAGCGTGGTACCTTAAGAGTCTGGCCTTGACTAGACCTGTTGCTAAAGAGGGTGTTTAAGGGTTAGAAATCGACTAAAATATCCTAGTCTATGCTTAGTGTTATGAATTACTTGCCTATAGTTTACCCTATTCCAAACACCAATCTTGTTACTTGGTAAAGCCAACTACCACTTAACACCAAGATGTTAATGGATCCTCTAACAAAACACAAAAAGAACTTTGGTTATAATGTCAGAAATATGGGGACTAAAAGGTCAGTTTTTAAACTATAGGAACTAACATGGTATGCGTTTAAAACTTTAGAAATCACAAATGCAATTTGCTCAAATTATTAAGGACAAAAAGTGGGAGAATATAAAGGAACACTAAAACTAACATGATTGTTCAATAATTTTAAAATAGAAATAGTTATTCTTAAGTTATTAAATATCTAATATATATCGTTAACATTAGATTAATTGATTATTTTGAAATGACAAATATTTTAAGAGTGTTTTTGAAACTAAATTTTCTTAAGGTTTTTGTGTATGTTTCAAGTCAAAAGTTTACATTAAAAATAATTTATTTTAAGGTAAAATGCAAATCCAATTGATATTTGAAGAAATATTATTTTCCTTGGACTTAATATAAGTTATATCTTTTGAGAAAGAAAATTTTCTATGCGATTTACCTGACTAGTGCTTTTGTTCTTGAAAGGAAAAATATTTGTGAGTTCTAATACTGCTAGCTTTATATTGATTCTTATTTGGAAATGACAATAAGAATAATGAAAATTGCTCTGATAAATTCTATTTTGAATTCTGCAAAATCACTTGAGCAATTCTTTATAAGCATAAGAAATGTTCAAAATCTTATAATATTTAATGAAATTCAATTTTTTTTGTATTTACCAAACATTTAAGGTTATATTAAAATAGGAAAAATGTTTACAGAATGAAAAAGGGCCAAATTAAGAAAATTTTTTAATATTAAAGCTACAAGGATTGATCCCAAAAGTCCCTTTTGGACAAAAGCAAAAGAACCCTTAGCTGCGTACCGAGGATCGATCTCACCCTTGGAGTGATCAAACCCCTTCTCACAAAACTCAAAAGTTGGGGCAGTAAATGAAGGCAAGATCAATCCTCACATATTGGGATAGATCCCAAAGTAGTCGCTGATAGTGCAAAGGTGAAATTAGTAGCAAACTAATGGCTTTTTCATGCATTAAATGCTTCCTAAATGTTCCAATAAGCTTTCTAAGTATAAATAAACCATCTTTAGCTTATTTATGATGCAGAAGAAGTGACAAACAATTAAACCCCTTTTAGCTTTCATTATAACACTTTGTAATAATCTTTGATATCTCTCTTTGCAAATTTGCATTCACTAAACAATATCTGCCTATTGGAGGTCTTTTTGTTTGTACATTTAAAAACTTAACTCCTTGAGAGATAGGGAGGTTATATAAGCCTTTAAAAGGTAAAAGGACTTGTTTAGAAGTTTTATCTAAACCTTTGAAGATAAAAATGTTATATTTTAGCATTCAAAAGGTATTTATATTGAGTGAAATTCAAGTGGTTGAATCTATATAAATCGAGTTTGCAATTCTCTCTGCACCTCACTTTTTATCTTTATTGTATCTTCTTTCAAATAAATATCAATTGAATTGTTATTTAACTTAATTTTTGGTATATCTCTCTTGAAAATTTATTTTGTGAAAAGTAATTTTGGAAATTTAATTCATCCCCACTCTCAGATTTTTAATTTTATTTGAGTTAACAATTAGTATTACAGTTTGGACTTTATTTTTGTAAGTTTAACCACCTTAGGGTGTCCCATTAGCTCAAGAAATCATGTTCCAAAAAGGCATCAAAGTTTCTAGAAGTAAAGAAAAGTTGGAAAAGAAATACCTCAAGGAAGAACCTTTTACAAGCATAGAGAGAGTGTAAAATCAAGTACAAGGATAGAGCGTAAAATCAAGTAAAGATGAACATGAAGTATGTTTGATGGCCATGCATTTAGTTGCAACCACTCTTAAAGATGGATAATCAATTATAAGGTGTCTTCTCTTTGTTGGAGAAAACTATTCTTATTAGAAGAACATAAGAAAGCCATTTGTTCAAGCAAAAATTATGAACCTTAATGGTAATTGTAAATGGTTCTTAGATATATGAATAGGTAAACCAATAATCAAGAAAAAAAGTGAGTGGAATGTAAATGACATTAAGTTGGGTCAACTTAATAGCAAGGCAATGAACACCCTTTTTTCTGCACTTAATAAGTACAACAGAGGATTCATGTATGAGAGTGCAAGGAAGTAAGCGATAAATTGGAGGTTACACATGAAGGAAAAATTCAAAAGAAGGAATTCAAAATTGGAATTTTTACTCTTGATTATGAACTTTTCCAAATGAAAGATGATGAAACAATTAACGAAATGTCAGATATATTCACCAACATCCTCAATGGCTTGAAGGCAGTTGGCAAGACATACTCAAATGTAGAATTGGTGAAAAAAATGCTACATAGCTTGCCAAAATCATGAGAACCAAGGGTGATCACCGTTGAGGAAGAGAAGAATCTAAATACTCTCACACTGAATGAGCTAATTGACCTTAAATACTCTCACACTGAATGAGCTAATTAACCTTTTTCTAACTCATGAGATTCAGCAAAACCATGGAAGTGAGAGAGAGAGTCTTCAAAACTTAAGAAGAAGGCTATGGTGGCTACATGGAGTGATAGTGACACATCTGACAATGGTCATGATAAGGAAGAAATGGCCAAACCTATGTCTCATGACTCTTGAAAAGCCTAAGGTAAGCTCTAATCTCAATAACTCAAACTCTTATTCCCTTGATGAATTGCAAAATACTTTTGAGAAATTACTTTTAGAATTTGAGAATATGTCTTTGAAATATAAGCAAAATGATTTTTAAGATAAAAGTTGAATTTGAATCTCTAACTAAGGTTAAATGTGAGTTAGAATGCTCAATTAGGACCATAGAAAGTGAGATTGTTGACTTAAAAAAAATAATAAAGGATTGCCTATTCCTTTTGCTAAATTTTATGTTAATCAATAGAAACTAAATGACGTGTTGGACATCTAAAGAGCTTTTTTTTAACAAAAATTATATAGCTATAATGGAAATAAAAAAGAAACTCAATTTAATAACTTTTTTGCCAAAGCTAATGACTCAAGTGAAAGTTAAAGCAAATGTATGTATTGTCATCAATTGGGTCATTCAACATAATTTTGTCCTTGAGAATAGTTGCTTGTTGGAGTAAAACTCACCAAGAATGTGTGGGATTCAAATAAAAAAATGATGTGGATTCCAAAATGAACAAAAATCATTAGTACTAACCCTCAAAAACCCAAAGCGATTTGGTGTCATAAATCGATTGATAAATGTCTCTTGTAAGCATGCTAAAGAACACTGGAATAAGGTTTTTTTTTCCTTGGAGATTGGAATGCTCTAGACATATTTTTTGGGATGGGTAATCTCTAAGAAATAAGCTATATTTCTTTATTCTAATGAAAAGCATGACTGTTTGTTCTTATTTGACTATTAGGTGCATAATTTTTTGTTAACAATCTTTTGAGCTTTGTTGATGTATCGTCATCATACAAAATTGATTTAAATGATACATGTTATAAATTGCATAATGTTGAAAAAAGTACAAGCTTAAAATTGAATATGAATTTATTTTTGCTCTTGAATGCTTGATAACTTTGATATAAATGTATCTCTATGATTGGTGAAATTGATTTTCTACTTAATTTATTGAATTTATTTTACTCCAGTATAGAGAAGTATAAGCTTAAACATGACTTTGTACATGAATAAATTTAAAAAGGGTATCTTCTACTTCATTTGTGCTTATGCTCTTGTCTTTCTCTGTGAGTTTATTTAGAGTTGTATTGGTATATCCATATTTGTTAAAAGATCAGCAACATAGTTTCCAAGTTGTAATCTTGAGAACTATTCGTTCATTCTGTAAATTGAGTTTTTGAACTTGGAATACCTTGCCTTAAATATTGAATAAAATATAATATGAATTATATGGTTTTTTTTTATTATAAAGTTATGCAATATGAATCCTATGTTTTTATAGATAAAAATTATTTTTATATTAAGCATTTAAATTATCATTTTATTTTGTAATTGCACCATCATAGTTAAAAGAATTTACTAATATTGACTTTCTTAAATTTTTCAAGAATGTGAATAGTAATATCAAGTAAGATTCATGAAAATATGAATATATATATATATATATATATAAGGTCAATTCATTTCAATATACCTGTCACAATGTGGAAATATTTCAATTATATAATTTATAAATAATCATATTCAATAGAGATCATATCTTTTTTTCTTAATTTTATTTCTTAATTACATCAATATTTAAATGTGCTTAGTCAAGAAAAAGGAATAAATATTTTAGGAAATTGCAAAAATTTATGCTTAGACTAATAAAGAAATATTTAGACTAGTTTAAATAAAATCAATTAATAGAATTTATTCATAAAAAATGGATGGAAGTAAGTTACCTTAGCACATAGATTTCTGGTTTGATCCCAGTCAATAAGGTGATAGGGAAGCGTATAGAGTTCTCTCCTGAGTGACAAAACAAGTGAATTAATTGGCCCTACAAATTTCTTCCCGTATAAATATGACATTGCCAGATACACCATGCGACAGTGACACCACATCCTTCCTGCAATTTTTTTTATTCGTGATTAATTTTTTATCAGAATACAAATTTGAATGATTCAAATCCAAATTAACTTAAATTTAAGTGATCGTAAATGCGAATCTAAACTTATCTTGTCTACTGTAAGATCGACTTTAGTGTAAGGCCATAATAGAATTCAAAAAACAAAAAAATCTTTAAACAAATTAACAAGTAAAATGAAAAGTAAAATAAATATTTTTTACTTATTTTATCCATTTAACAAATAAGTTAAATGCTCTATCTTACTTTTATACTTGTTTTTATTGTTCTTTTACAAATAAGTTTTTTTAATACTTTTTAACAAATAAGTATGTATTACAATTTAAAATTTAGTGTAATTAAGTCGTATCTTATTTAAAGATTTTTGTTATTTAATGTATTATTTATTTGTTTACATATCAATTATATTATTGCAATCATATTATCATTATTAGCTCTACTTTATAGTGTAAACTATTTTATAAATTAAAAATGGACTTAAACAAGATAATAAAAATGGTCAAAATACTTGAGAAGTCTTTGTATCCATGCATTTTGTTCAATTTAGTCATTATACTCAAAATAATAACATTTTAATTCCTTAAATTTGAGAATTACTTCAATTTGATCCCTCTTTCTATCGATGTTCAATTATGCTTTTAAAAGGATGATGTCAGCATTGACATCAGCACTGACATGGCACTGACGTGATGATGTGACAGTGCCACATGGCACTACTATGATGACATTGCAAATGCTGATGTGATATTGGCATGTTAATATGTTAGTGCCATATGACAGATCAAAAATTTTTCAAAAAAATTTTTATATCACGTCATAACGATTAAATTGAAGAAAAATATATTGTATAGAGATTAAATTGAACAAAATTGAGATGTTGAGAGACTAAATTGAAAAAAATATTTGAAACATATAAATATTTAAGTAGAGAATTAATAAGCCAAATATTTAAGTGTGAAAAATTTATGGTGTTAAAAAATATTTATATAAATATTTCCTTATTTGATTATCTAGTTCTAGAATATATACATTAATTTATTTTTTTATCAAAAATTAAGCTTGAATTCTCTTTGTATAAAACAATTTCAAAAAAATTTCATATTTAAAATCAAATTTAGATGACTAGTTTACATTGTGTTGGAATAAAATCAAATAAAAAGACTAAATAATTTTTTTCTTTTATTTATAATAGTACAAAAATTTGAAATTTATTTGACTTAGTTTTAATTGGAGCTGAACTCAAATTAACAAAATAGATTGATTTACTTTTTCTCTTAAAATAATGAAAAAGGAAGATATGAAGTTAGTGGTGATTATAAAAGTAATTCTTCATTCTGACTTGCTTAATTTAGACATTACAAACTTCTTATTACAACATAGAATCTGAGTTACTATACCCCTTCAATTATTTATTTATTTTTTATGTTTTTATTTTGCTTAATATTTCATGTTATATTTTTTAGGTTAAAATTTTTTAGATTAAAGACTGCATTTGTAGTTGATAGAGTTAAATATAATTGTAAACATTGTTATAATTTTAGTTTGTATTTATAAATTTTTGTATATCCAAATTAATAATTTAACTTTAAATTTAGCATAATTTAATTGCTGTATTTGAAGTTAAATAAAATCGTTTTATAATAAATTTTGAGTAAATTTAAATAAAATAGAAATTAGGTAAGGGTTAAATAATTCTAAAAGAATAATTATTTGTAAATTGTGAAAGTTATAACTAAATCAACTTATTTTGTTAATTTGAATTCAATTCAAGTTAAAAATTAAGTCAAATAAATTTTTAACTTTTATACTGTTATAAATAGAGAAAAAGAATTTATTTAGTTGTTTTATATTATTTTATTCTAATATAATGTAAGTTATTCATATCTAAATTTGACTTTAGGTATGAAATGTTTTTCAAAATATTTTTATAAAAAGAGAATTTAAACTTAATTTTTTTTAAAAAGATAAATTAATATATATATATCTTAGAATCAAATAATCAAGTAAGAAAATATTCATATATATATATTAACACCATAAATCTTTTACATTTAAAATTTTAACTTATTAATCATTTACTTAAAAATTGACATTTTTCAAATATTTTTTTCAATTTAATCCCTTAACATCTCAATTTTATTCAATTTAATTCTTATATTATATATTTTTGTTCAATTTAGTACCTGTAACATGACATAAAAAAATTTTTAAAAAAATTTTTGATTTGTTATATGGCACTAACGTATTAGCATGTTAGTGCCACATCAGCATTACTATGTTATCATAGTAATGCCATGTGGCATGTCACGTCATCAGATAAGTGTCATGTCATCACAAAGTGCCATGTTAGTGATGATGGCTTTACAATAAAGTTGGGATTTAATAACCTTACAATAAGGTCCACTTTGATGGCTTCACCATAAAATCAAGCCACCAACTAAACTCGATACTTAAAATTCAAATTGACTGAAATAAATATTATTGATTATTTTATGTTTCAGTTTGATTAAAAAGAACAATACATATGATGTAAATCATTATAAAAAGTACACAGTTTGTTTTATTTAATTTAAATTTAAATTAATTTTAAAAATTCAAAATATATATCAAATTAAATTAAGACCAATGACCAAAGCGGTCTAAAATATTGAAATTACCCAATTGTCATCAAGTTACTAATTAAATTGAGAGATGAAATTATAAATAAGGTTCAAACTATTTGAACTAAATACGAATAGCACAACCTGGATGGATGGGAAGAAAGTAAGGAAGAAGCCAAAGCTCAGGCAGTAAAGGGTTGTTGCCACTCCACTCATATACCCCCAGCACCTATACAAACAGCAAATTAAAAGCATGTAATTGATGAGATAAAGATATAATTGATAAAACAAGGGCAATTGGTGAGGGTGATGAGGAGACCCATACTGAAAGCCACATCTTGCCCCATGATGGAATGAAGGTAAGTCCACCATGATGAAGAATCCATGTTCTGGCTTTGGCAATAGCACCATCTCCTCCATCTCTGGTTTCTCCCAGCAATCTCAGAGTGACGTATGAGAGTGCAGTGCCAAGCATGGTGCTCTCCCCTTCTATGTGTAATCCCCATCCTCCATCTTTATTCTGCATCACAATTTTATTTCGATTGAAAACGTACTGTTCTTCTAATAAAAAGAGAGATAGCGTTACAATAAGTAAACTCTAATCTTTTTCTCTATCATCTGTCTTTATTGCATCGCATTCGACTTGTTGCAACACTACCTCTCTCCTTATTAAAACAATTCTCTATGATCAATAAACAGTATAATCAATAGGATAGAGAGACCTGATGGTTGTATAGATAGCGTCGTATCTCCTGTCGATGGTGGGAGGGCAAAATTATCTCTAATGCTCCCGTTATGAATAGCCCAATTACCTGTAAAATAATTAAAGTTATTTAAATTTTGGAAAATTTATATTATTATGAGGAGAAAAGTTATGAATATTGTTTTTATTATCAATATAAATATAATATCAATGTTAGAAATATATAGAAGCCATTAATTTAAGATCTACTACATTTAGGAGTTGAAGTGACAAACCAAAATCTAAAGTGCAAGGAGTTAACTGTTGAGGTTAAAAAATAAAATATAAAACAATAATATATATTTCTTAAGTAATTAAAATAAAAATATTTATTTTAAAAAGTTTTTAAATTTTAACCTCGCTCATTAAAAAAATGTCACTATGTGGTTCACTAACAGTTTATAATTATTATACAATAATTGACTAAATTAAAAATAATGGGAAATGCAATGTCTCATCAGTTGGATGCTTTAATTTTTTTTAAAAAAAAATTATCTGGTTGACTTTTTGTTATTTGTCTTTTATTTTTATTTATTTTTACTTTTGCTTTCTATTCATTTTTCAAAAAAGAAAAATAATAAAAAAATAATTGGATACTTTTATTGGGTTGTTATTTTTCCTGCTAAGCTTTTATTTTAAGATGTAAAAACTAGGAGTGTACTTGATAGAAGGATAAATTAGCAAATAATTGAATATAAAATAAAAATTTGTGAATGCAATATGTTTTTGCTATATTTTGTAAATACAAATAATTAATTTATGAATGAATATTTCGTTTTTATAAGACATCTTAATTATTAGAATTTAAAATTTCCTTACTAAACATACTGGAATATTGAAATTGAAAGAAATAAAAATTTATGGGAAGAGAGAGGTTATTTTCCTTTATTTAACCATGAGCCACCGTATGTACCAAAAAAAAAACAAACTATTAATCTATACATATACATGAAAATTGTTCCTAAAAGGCATTTTTTCACTATTTACCTTTTTCTTTGGTGATAAAATTTTGAAGATCAAACAAAAGGAAAATATAAAAGTAATTTTATTTATTTATAAAAAGGAAATGATGGAATAGGAAATAAATTTTGAATCTCAAATCTCAATCATTTTAATAAAGCTAGCAATATAGAAAAATTATATTAATTTAAATTTAGGTCACATTCCAATTATTTGTTTATTTTTAAATTAAATTGGGACCATTCGTACGAAAAGGATAGGGTGCAATGCAAAATCAATTTATGCTGTCCATGAATAATGAATCAATAGTGAAAGCAGCCCCGTACTGTTTTACAACCAAAGGCTTGGCTTCTTTGAGTTTAAAAGTGTACGATGACTGCAATCACTCCTTTTCGAAAGAGACTAGGATTCAATTAAATTAATAAATTTATGTTCCATTACGTACACCGGCTGCCATCTCTCCATTTTATATATACAATAATTTCAAGAGAAATTAAAAACCCCTTGATTTATTTCAAAAAATTTAAATATGTTTTTAACATTTGTCAATGATAGAATGTAGCAGGGCATAATATTTAAAAGAAATCTGTAAATTATTTAAAAATTTAAATATGTTTTTATTTTTTAATTTATATATTTTTATGTTAAATCAAATAAATTTTTATAATTAATAGATGATTAATCGTTGTTAGTGTAAATGTCATCTGTCATTTTATGTTACGTGATACTAATATAACATCTTGACATGCCATAGTAAATGAAGATGTGATATGATGATATAGTCATGTGGTATTTTTCAATGTCTACCTTAATGTTACTTAAGCATGAAATGACAAGTGACATTTTAAACTATTTAGTGATAAAGAGCCTATTTAGTTCAAAATGAAAATATAGGGATTTGATTTGAGTGTAATAAAAAAATAAAGAATTATCTAAAATTTTTTAAATAGTTTAAGTATTTTTTAAAATATTATGTCATATAACAATTAGAATCATTTACATCATGTTATCTGTAAATTTATATAATATATATATATTTAAATTGTTGATTATAAAAAAGGGTATATTTTGCATTGATTTACAAAGTAAATGAAAGCTGGTTGTAAAATCTTACATGGTGTCGGTAGGAAGTTGATTAAGCATTTATTAGGTGATGGGTAAGAATAAGGCGAAGAAGACGTTACCAAGCCAGGTAGAAGGAACAAGGGGCCACCATAGTCACCAGGCCAGAACCCATCCTCGCATTGCAACGTTGAATAGAATCTCAGAGCCCTCCTTAATGTGGTCCTCACCGTTTCCTCACTTACTTCTTGGCTGGATTTCACGTTGACCTTGTCTGGCAGCTTCCTCTCTCCTGCTGGATTATTCTCCCTTGCAAACTATTATATATGCCCAAAGGAGAATATATATATGTTTGATCAAGTATCAATGAGTAAGAAAACGAATGCACACTTTGTTAGCACAATATTAGCAAATTCATTACGATACAAAGAGTTGTTTATTCAGTTCGTACCTGAAATCTCATTAGCATATCAGAGCTTTGCTTGGTTTGAAACCGATTCTTGGTGAACTCATTCCGAGCCTTTTCGACTCGAGCTCGCTCTTCTGGTGTACCAAGATTAGGATCGAACTCCCAATATTGTCTTCCCATGTGATTGCTCACGCTTTTAAGCCAGGGTTCATTCCCTTGAGAAAGCTTAAGCTTCCACATTTCTTTTCTTTTCTTGAGCTTCAAACAAATTGAAGAAACTAGGAAGGAAAAAGGAAATGACGACTGACCAACAGAGTTCAATGTTTGGCTGCAAAAGGTTGACTCCCTGAGAAAGACTTGGCTTTCTCAATATTCGTCATGCAAACATGTACGAAAGTAACAAGGTTCATAAAAACGTTCAATTATATATATACACATTCCACCTTTGAAATTACAATATTACCCTTGTTTTAGCTTACTAAATAGGGGTAGTCCAGGGTCTAGATTGTGACCTGCCAACCTCCCAAGTTAGATAAGTAATGCTGTAAACAGAAGGTATGGCTTCATGTTGGAACGCACAATGTTTAGTTATGGATATTTTTAAATTTGCTCTATTGGACCATATATGTCACCATGTGTAACTAAACAAATAATTGAAAAGGTCCCAAACAACTAATCATCTATTGACACATGTTGAATTGATGATGCCCTCAAACAAATGATTCCACGTGTTATATTCAAAAAATTGCTCGAGTCTTGGCCAATTAGACGTGACTTGCTAGTTCAAGATTTTGTTTTTTGGAAAGCAATGTTTGAGTACATTGTATTGATACAAATCCTTAGCTTTCTCACAATTAAGTTGAAGATTTTCTTTTTTCAACGTACTTATCATCCACCTTCAGTTTACATTACAATGTTGCAATCCCCCGTCAACCTTTGCTCATGACATCCATTCCACCCTTGTTTTTCAACCATGGTCACACTGATGCTTTAGACAAATTATTTCAACATGACGAATTACTATTAGCATCGAATAAAGAGGGGAATGTGATGTAGCAGAATATTTATTATATGATGTATGGAAATCTTTTTCTACATATCTATTTGCATGCCTAGAAGCACCCTAATAGACCATATATTTACATTTGAAAAGTTTGTATTGGTTTTGACAAAATTAATATTTTTATGTGGGAGTTCGAAAAAAGACAAAACAGAATTTGATAAATGGTATCAACTCTCAATGCAATACACATATACATAAGCTAACACAAAAATTGACATTTGAAAGAATTTGGAGAAATTTATTCAGGGTTTCATGGTTGTTATTTTGTCCTAAAAATTAAAAGCTAATTTCCTCAAGTTATGAATTTTCTCTTGGCAAAAATTGAAGCAATAACACCTGAAATTAGTTTGAAGTATGATACACTGTTTTTAAGGATAATTTTTGTTCATTCAGAGTATGAAATTCGGTACAAAAAGATTAAAACAGTCATCCCCAAGAGTCAACAGATTATTCTTGAATAGTTTGCACAAACTATTAGGGATATAGGAATAGTCGGAAAAAATAAAGAAGAAGGATCCCAACAAGGCTATGTAGAGAAGATAAAGAAGAGAGAATTGAGGTGTGTTAAGAATGAATGTGGAGGTTGGTATTTATAGGGAGGAACACCTAAGAGAATCAATAGAAAATTACAAAAGAGATGTTCTAAAATATTCTGTAATCAAAAAATAAACATTAATTTTGTAGTCGTTTGTTCTGAATCAAAGACCAAATCAAGTTTTGTAATGGTAAAATATGTTTTGGTCGGTAGAATCACAAATCGATTCAAATTGCATTTCCCACCACAATAAAAAGAATGGTCAATGAAAAAAATCAAAGACCAAATCAAGTTTTGTAATATTACAATATATTTTGGTTGGTAGAATCACAAACCTTAAATTGTACTTTCCACCATGGTAAAAAGACTTGGTCAATGAAAAAATCAAAAACCAAAAAAGTTTTGTAACGACAAAATATATTTTGATTGGCAGAGTTACAGTCCTATTCAAATTGTATTTTCCACCATGGTAAAAAGACCTGTTCAAGGTAAAGGCAAAAAGCTGAAAAAAAAAAACATATAGCCGAGGCACAAAAATATCACTTGAGCCTAGTCCATGTGTATTCTCACATGTGGGGGGGAAATTTGCATTTTCTTAAGGCTTGGCTCAATCTGGTATGTGAAATCCCACCTTGAGTAAGAGGATAAATTAGGAAATCTTTAAGTAAGCATATATATTGTAGATTTTGAACATCAAACTTAGTTTTAACCTTCAAACGAATTCATTGACACTTTTGATTGTCTGTCACTTATGAAGCAGAAAATTTTTTGAGTTTGGAAGGGGTTAAAATATGTGATGCTTATAAAACAATCTTTTGGAAGTAAGAATTACTGCTAATAGACATTTAGGAATCAAGGTAGACATTTTAGAGTTTAAAGCAAGGCTTCACCCTAATGATTTTCTTGATTGGCTCTACACAGTGGAAAGAGTTTTCTAGTTCAAAGATGTTCCTGATGAAAAACGTGTGAAGCTTGTTGCAATTAAATTAAATAAGCACGCCTCTATATGATGGGAACATCTCAAACGGCAACGAGAAGGAAAAAGCCATAACAAAATCAGAACATAAGATAAGATGCGTTGAGAACTCAAGCGCAAGTTCCTTCCTGAGCACTATTGACAAGAAATTTTTATTAAATTTCATAACTTGAGATAGAGAATAATGTCGATGGAAAAATATACAATGGAGTTTAAGTAACTTCACATAAAGTGCGATATCCAAGAACTTGAAAAGCAAACCATAGCTCATTATCTTAGAGATCTCAATGTTGAAATTGTAGATGTTGTTCAACTACAACCATATTGGAACTTAAATGATGTCATCAGATTAGCATTAAAGGTTGAGAAACAATGATCACGAAAAGGCTCAGTGAGTTCATCTAGACAAAAAGATTCTACTTCAAACCGTGGGAGATAAAGTTCGACAACCATTTCGCCTCCAAAAATAAACTCTTCCCAAACTGCCAGCAACAATGATAAAGAAACTACTACTAGTTATGCTTCTAATGTCAACAAAAAGTGTTCCAAATGTCAAAGATTTAGGCATATTACTTTTGATTGTCCAAATCAAAGAATTATCTCTCTAGTAGAAGAAGAAGTTATGGAAGAATTTATCATTGAAGAAGAAGAAGATAAGCTAGAAATATTCAACGGAGATGAGATAGAAAAAGTTAGTGCTAACCATAAAGAAGCTATTGTCATTCGTCATAACCTTAGCACTGTTATGATGACTAAAAATGAGAGTTGGCTTCGCCACAACATCTTTTATACAAGGTGCACATCCTAAGGAAAGGTTTGCAACATCATTATTGATAGTGGAAGTTATGAGAATGTTGTTGCTAACTACGTGGTGGAAAAGTTAAAGCTTCCTATTGAGACACACCTTCATCTTTACTCGCTACAATGGTTGAGAAAAGGAAATGAAGTTAAGGTAACGAGGTATTGTTGTGTTCAATTCTCTATTGGAAATAAGTATCAAGATGAAGTCTGGTGTGATGTTATCCTAATAAATGCATGCCATCTGTTGTTAGGATGCCTATGACAATATGATCATCGAGCTCACCATGACAGATACAAGAATACTATTGCTTCCTCAAGGATGGAGTAAAAATTATGTTAACTCCACTAAAGCCTGAAGACCGGCCAAAGAGACAAAAGGAATATAAAGCACTCATCTCTGTGTTTGGCCTAAACAAAGCTTATCATGAGCCAAGCTTCTTATACCTCTTATTAGTTTATGAGGAGAATGAAGTATCTTCATCCTTACCCAAAGATGTCAAGCCCATAATTGAGGAGTTCTTTGATGTTGTACCTGAAGAGATACCCCACGGACTACCACCAATGCAAGATATCCAGCACATCATCGATCTCATTCCTAGTTCTATAATTTCAAGCAAGCCTGCTTCTCGCATAAGGTCGTAAGAGCATAAAAAGTTACAACATCAGGTCAAACAACTTTTAGAGAAAGGCCTAATAAAAGAAAGTGTTAGCCCTTGTACTGTTCCTACCTTATTAGTTTCACAAAAAGATGAAGCATGACGTATGTACATTGATAGTTGTGCCGTGAACAAAATCACCATCAAGTATTGTTTTCCCATTCCTATACTTGATGATTTGTTGGATCAATTACATTGTGCTATAATTTTCTCTAAGATTGATCTGTGTAGTGGTTATCACCAAATTCAAATGTGACATGGTGATGAATGGAAAACTGCATTTAACAGTAGTGAAGGATTATATGAATGGACAGTTATGCCATTTGGCCTCTTTAATGCGCCCAGCACCTTTATGCACCTAATGAACTAGGTATTTTTTCCTTTTATTGGGAAGTTTATTATGGTTTATTTTGATGATATTTTGGTGTATAGTAGACGTCAGAAGGAGGTTTTAAAACATTTATAGTAGATCTTTGAAGTACATCAAAGCACAAGCTTTTTGCTAACTTAAAAAAGTGCAAGTTTATGACAAATAAAGTTATCTTCTTAGGATATGTTGTGTCAAGCTAAGGAATTGAAGTGGACTAAAGTAAAGTTGATGCTATTATCAACTGGCTAGTTCCAATGTCACTTCATGATGTTCGAAGCTTTCATGGATTGACCTCTTTTTATCAACGTTTCATCAAAAAATTCAGTTCTATTACTGCTCCACTTACTAAATGCCTCAAGCAAGATAGTTTTATATGAAGTACCAAAGCACAACATAGCTTTGAGGAATTGAAAGAAAGGATTACTAAAGCTCCGATGCTTGCATTTCTGAATTTTGATTTGCTGTTTGAAGTTGATTGTGATGCCTCCAATATAAGTATTAGTGTTGTTCTATCTCAAGAGGGACAACCAATTACCTTCTTTAGTGAGAAACTCAATGATGCAAAGTTGAAATACTCAACATATGATAAAAATGTTTATGTCGTTATTTGAGCCTTGGACCATTGGAGCCACTATTTGTTGCCAAAAGAATTCATCTTGTATTCTGACCACGAAGCTCCCAAACATCTTAACTCCCAACACAAGCTTAATTGCTGACATGCAGCTTGGAGCGAGTTTCTTCAAGATTTTCTAATTCTCCTCAAGCACAAGTTAGGTGTGCAAAATAAGGTAGCTGATGCTTTAAGTCGTCGCGTTACTCTTCTCTCTACCTTTCAATTT